CTACTGGGGTGCCTGGCAAGCCTGGGTGAGGGGCTGAGGGCCGTTTTCAGGCTGGCCACACCCCCTTCAGGGGTGGGGGTCCCTACTGGGGTGCCTGGCCAGCCTGGGTGAGGGGCTGATGGCTGTTTGCAGGCTTGACACAGCCCCTTCAGGGTGCGGGGGTCCTGCTGGGGTGCCTGGCCAGCCTGGGTGAGGGGTTGATGGCCGTTTTCAGGCTGACCATGCCCCTGGTGACCCAAGCTCCCAGAATCTCCTTTTTTTCTTTTCTCTTTTTTTCTGGGATTTATTTATCTTCTATAATTGAAACTTTGTAGCCTTGAGCGGAGCCCAGTGCCGGCCAGGGCAGGTGAGAAGCTTGGCTTCCTCCATCGGCGGGGGCAACCCAAGCCTCCTGCTCGCTCCAGCTCTGTGGCCGCCGCCATCTTTGTGATGGAGTGATGGAGTGATGGTTAATTTGCATATTACTCTTTTATTAGATAGGATTATGTAAAAGAGCTAAAATCCCCCCCCCCCATTTCATAAAGATATAATTCACGTACAACACTGTATAAGTTTAGGTTTTACAGCATATTGATTTGATTTACTGATAGCATGCAGTGATTACCACAATAAATTTAGGTAACGTCCATCACCTCATATAGATACAAAAATATATGCATGTATTTTTTTCTGTGTGATGAGCATTGTTAGGATCTACTCTTTTAACAACTTCTTATACATCATACAGACAGTGTTAGCTATAGTCACCAGGCTGGACATTACATTCCTAGTACATATTTATTTTATAACTGCCAGTTTGTACCGTTTAACGACTTTCTTCTATTCCCCCTCTCTAGCCCCATAATATTGGTTTTAAAAGGTGAATAATAAAACAATCAAGGAGGAGTGAGAGGTAGGGTGTACTTATCAGGTGCCAGACACTATTTTTAGGGCCGCGGGGGTGATTAAAGTTATTTAAGCCTTTTAGAAATTTTGAGATTGAAACAGGGTGCCTTGCTTTTTTCCATTGTATTTGAGAAAGAAACAGAATGGAGAAGGTAAATGATTCACCTCAGAATATTGAGACGGGTAAAAGAGATGCGGAGAGTGGGGGGTCGAGATTACC